AACTGTGTCAAAAGTTGGACTGGAAAAAAGGGAAGAATATGCAGGAACACCAATCAGAAGGCTATTGTGATAGTTCACATGAGAGGCGATGTGGGAGCAAGAAGACAGTATATCTGGATGACAGAAAAAATGCTGAAGAAATGAAAGAAAACGCTACAGAATGATATACCGGGTAGCAAAGGAAATCACCTTGGACACACCACACACACACACACAACACACACACACACACACACACAGAGGAGTTCCAAATAGTGTACTGCAAAGTGGAATACATGATTTCATAAGAAAAGAAGGTCTTCAAAAAGATCACTGACTTTCAGTTATTCCTCCTTAAAAAAATCCAGTATTGAGCAAGACCTTCTTTGACTTTTAACCTCAGAAAACAGACAAACAAAACAAAAAAACCTAACATGGTAAACAAGTCTACATAGCATGAAGGAAATAATGACTACATATTTGCATGCTCTAAGAGGAAATAAAACTGTTTTCCTTATAACTCCAACCTCATCTGTCATTAAAAAGAACTAAAATTAGTCATCTGAGCCACTAATTTCATTGAAGGAGGTCACACAGAAGTAAAATACCTATAGGAAAAAAAAGAGAGAGAGAGGGAGAGATAGGGAACCAAAGGGAAACTAGCATTTCTTGATGAGGCAACAGAGATGAAAGTCATTTAAAATAAAGGAGAAGGTAGGTGGGGAGGAATAGAAGAGAGCTCTTGAACCAAACTCTTATGTGGCCTGGCCAAGGTAAGACTCAAAAATAATGGTATGCATACAAAACCTCAAGGATATGAAAAGAAGTCTGATCTGAGGAGAGAGGTAATATGTGAGGGATAATCATAGAAGCCTAAAATATATCTGCAGCTAGAAGGGACCTTACAGGTCATCTAATACAACTTTCTAATTTTACAGATGAGAAAACCCAGGTTTGGAAAGACTGTAATCAAGGTCACACAAACAGCAAGAGGCAGAGCCCAGATTCAAACTCGGGTCTTGTGACTTCAGGTTAAACTCCCTTTCCACTGTATCCCACTGGACATAGCATCAAATTGTTTTGAACAAAGCAAGTACTTTGTACTGATTTTCTTTTTAAGGGTAACTCAAGTAGATGGAGAGGAAAACAAACTGAACAATCATAAATTTGAAGGTTAATAGACTAAACTCAAGCACAAAAATGGCATCTCTGCCCCAGGGTCTTTTTTAGCGTTCTAGGTGCTGTTTCTAGACCAGACCAGCCTTGCAATGCCAGCCCCTTGCTCATATCCAGATTCCTCAAGGTTATATATTGCCTACTTTTTTTTTCTTATGAGGCAATTGGGGTTAAGTGATTTGCCCTGAGTTGTCACACAGCTAGTGTTACCTGTCTGAGGCTGGATTTGAATTCAGGTCCTCCTGACTCCAGGGCTGGTGCTCTATCCATTGCTCCACCTAGCTGCCCGGTACATTACCTACTACTGCTTTCTGTAAGGTGCACTTTCTGGGCCTTACAGGAGTTATGATTACCACCTGACACAAAAATTAGTTATCTAGAAAGGGGCCTGAATGATCTAATCACCTCCCTCCCTCAATGGACTTCTTTGCAGGGACTGATAATCTGCCAGAACTAATTCCCCAACGGTTAACATATTCCACATCCCACTCTCCCCAATCTTGTTACTCTGAACCCAGAACTATCACTGAATAAACCCATTCCCCATCTACTATCATCCACACCCCCTCTTCCCCCTCTCCCTACCTCCACTACAAGAAAGCTCTAGTTGGCAGTGGCCTGAGCAGATGAAAAATTAAATAACTTGGAAGTAATAGCAGATAGTGTGGATCTTTACCAGCTACGTGTAGAAAAGTCTCCCCCGCACAGCAATTCAATCAGTGACTTCCAACTCTTAGCAGGGAAAAGTTCAGAAATTAAGATGGGGGGGGGGGAAGTAGGAAGACAGAAAATGACCAAACAAAAGAAAATTCTATATACAATGAAAAACACTGTGCTTTAAAAGAATAACATAACCATACAAAGTCAGAATTACAGAGTAAGAAGGGACTTTGGGAATCAACTAGTCAATTCAATCAATACCTGAGAAAAAGCCTGACTACAATCTACTCCAGAAATTATCATCAAGTTTTTGCTTGAAGACCTCCAGTGAGGTCTTCACTACCTCCAAAGGTAGTTTATTCCACTTTTGCAAAACTCTTAATCATCAGGAAGTTATCCTTATATCAGAACTAAATATTTTAGGTTTGTTTTTTGGTTTGTTTGAAATTTATACCCATTATCTCTGATTTTACCTTCCAGAGCTAAACGGAACAAATTCAATCTTTCTTCTAAACAATCCTTCAAATATTTGATGAATATTATTTCCTCCCAAAGCATTTTCTCCAGGCAAAATACTTCCAGTTCCTTCAACTCCAACCTCATTTGACATGGATTCAGCCTTTCACCATGCTGGGTTACCTTCTTTCCATGCTATCTACCTTGTCCATGGCCTTCCTAAAATGCAAAATTCAGAATTGGAAACTCCAGATATGATCTGACCAAGGCAAAGTACAGTACTTCCTTATTCCTGGAAACTACATCCTTCTTAAAGCAGCCTAAGATCACATTAGCCTTTTTGGCTAAAATAAGACAGTCTTTGTTCCTTTGAACTTATATTCTACAAAAACTCCCATACCTTTTTTCAGACAAACTAGTCTAACCATAACTTCCCCATCTTGTACTTCTGAAGTTCATTCTGGAACACAACTGAAGACTTTGCATTTATCCATATTAAATTTCATCTTAGTGAATTCAGCTCCATTTGCTATTCAGTGTATTCATTATTCCTCCTAGCTTTGTGTCATTTGCAAATTTCATAAGGACAATGTCATCTATGCCTTTATTCAAATCTTTGATTTAAAAAAAGCTCTGGGACAAGTGAAGAGGCAGTGTAGTCGAGTGAAAAGAATGCTGGATTTGTAGTTAGAAGACCTGAGTTCATGGAGCAGCTAGATGTGACCCTGGGCAAGTCACTTCACCCCACTGCCTCACCAAAAAACTACATACTACCTGTATGAACACAGGCAAGCCATTCAATCTCTCTTGTCCTTGGCACAGCTGGCTAGAGTGCTGGGCCTGAAATTAGGAAGACTGAGTTCAAATCTGGCTTCAGTCATTCTGGGTGACATTGGACAAGTTATTTACTCAGTTTTCTCATCTGTAAAATGACTTGGAGACGAAGGAAATGGCAAACCACTTCAAAAAACTCCAAATGGGGTCACAAAGAGTCAGACATGATTGAACAATAGCAATGAAAAAATTACACAGTGGTACTACAGGATTTCTAAGGTCTATGATACCTATGATCCAATGAAGACTGGCACTCTACTATAGACCTCCTGCCATGCTGATACTGGACTAGTAATGAATATTCTTGGAGTTCTGAAATCATTTGTACCACTATTGTCTAGCCCACATCTCTATCTTTTCCATAAGAATGTGACAAGACACTTTATCAAGTGGTTAGTTATCAATGTACTGGTCTACCCATTTAGTAATGCTATTTTTAAAAAAAGAAAAGAAATGAAATAAGTTTAGTCTGACATGATGTGTTCTTTATGAAGTCATGCTGGCTCTTTGTGAACCTATTCCTTTCCTACATGTTCACTAAAAATCCCTTTCTCAGGAATCAAAGTCAAGGCTATCCAGCCTATGTTTTGCAGACACTACTTTCTTCTCTTTTTAAAAAATTGGGTCAACATTTGCTCTTCTCCAAGCCTGCAGTACTTTTCCTATTCTAGGCCAGAGTAAGGCCTAGATATAGGACAGTGGACAAGTGAGGCAATCACCAATTAAGGACAGCAGTGCCAGAGAACAGGAGTTTTAAAACCAAAATTTAAGCTCTCCAGGGTGTGGTTTCTGGTCCAGTGTCAACAAGGTATCAGTCAAGAAGTTGATTACTATCAAGTGAGACTTAAAACAGGAAGATCAAAAGTGTTCACTGTCATAGAGGAGATCCGATGCAAAGCCCAAGTCAAAGGATTCTGCTGAGATGCTTTAGACACTTTTATTTGCAGATAATATTATGCAACTTGTATCAAGTTCTAGATATAAAAGTTGGGCTAGTCCTATAGCAAGAAAGAGTGATAAATGATGGACAGGAAATGTGACCCAGTGCATCAGGAGAAATGAGGAAAGCCTCCAGAACATCATATGCATCCCCTGTCACAAATTTAAGGAAGATATGAACAGGAGTCTCATAGGTCGACTCAGCAATGGTGAGTTGTGATCTATGTCATGAGAGGGACCTGCAACATCAGTAAGCTCACAAACCCATTTAAGTATCTAATTATGTCAATATAGCAAAGATGACAGCATGGTGTAGTGTGTACAGAACTAGACTTGGGGTTAGAAAGACCTGGATTCAAATCCCGCCTCTGATATTTACCAGCTCTGGGACCATGGGCAACTTATTTAAACTCTCTGAGCCTCAGTATCTTCATCTGTAAAATGAGTGGGTTAGACTATGTGGCTTCTGAGGTCCCTTCCAGCTCTAAAGCTATGATCCTGTAATACAAATTAATCTACAAATTTAGCACTATAGCAATCAAGTTTTCCAGAGGATATAATTTGATAGTTCAATGGATTGCCCCTGGGTACTCCCTCTCAATGGTGCAGATCAGCAAACCCTAGCTTTGTTCTACTCTGCACAACCTCATCCGGCCTCAGACACAACCTCATTTCCCACCCAGCTGTACTCATTTTGGACTTCTACGACTTCTCCACCATGGCCCTACGAAACCCACCACTGGGAAATCTCATTATCTTACAAGATCCACTCAGCCTCATACGCCATCAGCGCTGCCCGCCCCCCGCCCCGACACACCGCTCCTCCCCACACACACACAACTTTCTTTGGTCCCAGGCCGAGCTGCTCCCCTGGGAAAGCTCCACCCCCATGGAATCTGATTGGCCCCGACTTCTCTGACGTACTTCCTGGCTTAGGGCCAAGTGGGCGGGACCTGGCCACGTGACTCACCACATCCTGCTGACTGGCTGAGCAGACACATTTCCAAGTGGACACAGAGGGAGCTGTGTCCCGAAAAGCCCGGTGCTGCCTATCCTTGCAACAAGGACGGAGTAAGCCCCCTCCTTTGCTAAATGATCAGAGACTCATTTTACCTAACTTTGAGCACTTGCCTTAAGCCGTGCCTCTAACAAGCGCCTTGTGCCCCTCATTGGAGGGTAGAACTATAAACATTTAAGGAGCGGAACAAGACTTGATATCCCCCATCTCATTTCCCACCTGGCCGTTCTCATTTTGTACTTAATTGGCTTCTCTAACCACTCCCCTGCACCAAATAACTTCTCCCCTCCCTGCCTCAGCTTTCTTTTGTGTGTTGTCTTCCCCCGTTAGACTGAAAGCTCCTGCCAGGAGATAGGATGGAGGGAAATATTGTTAGCAATAGTAACTGAAAAAAAAAAATTTGAAAGCAAGTGTCTCTGATAAAGGCCTCATTTCTCAAACATATACAGAACTGAATCAAATTTATAAAAACAAGAGCCATTCCCCAGTTGATAAATGATCAAAAGATATGATCAGTCTTCAGATTTTTTTTCATATGGTTATAAATAGCTTTGATTACTTAATCAAAGCTATTTATAACCATATAAAAAAATACTCTGACTCACTATTGATTAGAGAAATGCGAATTAAAACAATTCTGAGGTATTATTAGATTGGCTAGTAGAACAGAAAAAAGTAAATAAAGATGTTGGAGGGGATGTGGGAAAAAATGAGACATTAATGTCTCAATAATTAATTGGTGGAGTTGTGAATTGATTCAACCATTCTGTAGAGCAATTTGGAACTATACCCAAAGAGCTATGAAACCATGCCTACCCTTTGACCTAGCATTACCACTACTAGGTCTGTATCCCAAAAGAGAGAAAAAGGAAAAGGCCCTGTATGTACAAAAATATTTATAGCAGCTGTGTTCTGGGGACAAAGAATTAGAAATTGATGGGATGCTTATCTGTTGGGTGATGGCTGAATAGGTTGTGGTATGTGATTATGATAGAATACTATTGTACTATAAGAAATGATGAGCAAGATGCTCTCAGAAAAACCTGGAAAGACTTGCATGGGCTCATGCAAAGTGAAATGTATCGTGTATAAAGTAACAGCAATACTGTAAGATAATCAGCTATGAATGGCTTAGCTATTCTCAGCAATACAATGATCCAAGACAAATCTGAAGGATTTATGATGAAAAATGCTATCCATACCCAGAGAAAGAACTGATGGTTTCTAATTGCATATTGAAACATTCTTTTTTTTTACTTTTATTTTTCTTGAATTGTTTTTGTCTATGTTTTCTTTCACAACGTACGTATCACCTATATTGAATTGCTTGACTTCTCAATGAGGGTGGCTGGTGAGGGAGGAAGGAAGAGAATTTTAAACTCAAAGTTTTTAAAACTAATGTTAAAATTGTTTTTACATGAAATTGGGGGGAAAAGTACTAAATTTAAAAAATTAAGCTTAGCTGACAAAAAAAATATTGTAAGCTCCTTGAGGGCAGGAATTGTTTTTCATATTTTTATGTGGAGAGCCTGGCACATAGGTGCCACTCAATAAACATTAATTGACATTTGTCTTGACATAAATATCCTATATGAGAACTGCACAATTGCAGGGGACCTTCATTAATGTCTTTAGAAAAGATAGCTGCAGAATATGCAAGCTGTCCCTTCGTTGTCTTGGTTTTCTCTTGTTCTGGTTATATAACCAACCTACCTCTTTTTTCAGACATGCAGCTTTTAATAGTCATTAGGACACTTTTCCCACCTGATTTTTTTTAATTGTTACTACCCTGCATTCTACAAACAGCAATTTAAATCATTTGGCCATTGTGGTATTTCATAAATCAAAGCAATAGAGCACCACCAGAATAGTGTGTGTGTGTATTTATTCCTGTGCTGGGAGGAGAGAGAAAAAAACTCCTAGGAAGGCAACTACCATTCCACTTACCTGAGAATTTCCCTACCTATGAAATCAAAAGTGTAATCCCTATCCTCTATCCTTAATATTACCACTTCAGGAACAACATATATAAAGAATTCAGAGAAATGTGAAGATTTATATAAAATAATAACGAGTGAAAAAAAACAGTGTATACACAATGTAAATGAAGGCATTAAAAGTCAGCAAAATTTAGTTGAAATACAAATGGACAATTTTGGTATGAAATTATTAAACTTAGAGCACAAATTCTCACTTCCTCCTAACAAAGAATGAACTCCAAAAGCAAGAAAAGACTCATGCTGTGCATTGCAATCACTTTATAAAGTGACGTTGCTTAACTTTTCCAGAAATAGATTCTGTAGAGTCTTGGAGCATTTGTTAAATTAGGTTTCCTTCTGAAAACAAAATTTATTACTAAAAATTAAGTTTTTGTAAGTATTATTAAAAATCTCAAAGGACTTTATTGGGTCAAAGTTGTAAATAGCCTCTCACTGTCAGCCCTAGGCAATTAAATTTAAGAAATATGAGAAATGTGAATAAGCATCATATGGCTGTGCAAAATACCACTATTGCAATATGGAATGCATATGTACTTAACTATAATCTTGGAACCTGACGATGTGAAAAGATAAAGATACATTGAAGTAGCTTCAAAGAAAAACCAAAATCATTTGGACACTAGAAGAATCCATTTATAAAGAACTACTTAAAGTCAAGATGCTTAAGAGAAAATGTAAAATGCATGTATATGCATATATATATATACGTTATATATAATATGTAAAATATGAGTGTGTGTAATATTGGCTATTAACTCTCTTGAGTAAATCATATCAATCTCACTGATGGACTCTCAGAAACATCTGGTGCTTGTGGCAAATGAGGAGGTTCTCCTTCCCATTTTGTATCCTAGGCTAAAATATCCCATTTGAGCCAGCATCTAGTAAATAGAGTGATAGGCATAATAAAAATACAAAGACAGAGATCAGCAGATAAATATGAACTGAAGATATGGTCCAAAGGAGCAGCATTTATTTGAAAGGTATAATTACTAAGGAGAAATAAAATTAATCTTGGTACCTAAAAAGGCATATCTAATTAGCAGATAGTGAAGCACAATAGGAAGAACACTGCTACTAACTAGCTATGTGACTTTAGGCCTAAGTGACTTCATTTCACTTCATTTTTGTTCTTTTATTTATTATTAAAATGGGGGGGAGCGGGGAGGGGGAATGAAATACTGAAGTCCCACCTAGCTCTAGAAACCTATTAATCTATAACAATGAGAAGTTTAGCAATTGGGAAAGCTAAACTGACTTCAACAGTATGCTTCCTAACAGTTAGAACTATTAGATTTAAGAACAGAAATCCAAAAAGAAATAGAAGCAAAGCAATTCCACTTAAAACATTGTAAAAGATAACCCAAATTTTAACATTGTTTGAATGGTACATAATCTAATAGGAACCACCTCACAGTTGGACAAAACAGTTGAATAGCCCAGAGTTCTGCACTCAGCAGCTTTTTCCCCTTAGATGATCCCTCTGCCGAGTGGCCCCTTCCTCTGATTGGTCAATTCCTCCTAGACCTTTCATTTTAAGGAAAATGCCCAGGCAAGGTATGTTCTTTCCTTCATTCTTCTCTGGGCTCTACTCCTAACTCTCCAAACTTCTTTCTCTATATCACTGTGAAAATATTTTCTTTCTTCAATGCCTGCTTTTCATCTCCTTTTTATGTTATCTTCATCCTTTCGAATATAAGCTTCTTGACAGCAGGAACTGTCTTCCTTTTTACTTATATTTGTTTTTCCAGTACTTAACAGAATAACTGGCACTTACTAAATGTCTAATAAATGCTTACTGAATTGATTTGAATGATTGTTTCTAGTCTTGCTCTTAGATTTGGGGGGAAAAAAACAGCAATAAATTTTCAGCAGTTAAAATGCTCAGTCAGCTGTTCTATACAGGAAAATAGTATTAAAACATCCACTGAATTATGTATTTCAAAGTTGAGAATGAATCATGGCACTGAGTAGTAAATTCTGCCTCTGGGCATGGAATCATAGGATTTAGAGCTAGAAGGGTTTTCTGAGCACATCTAGTGTAATAACTACAGTGGAAAACTGAGGATCAGAAGGGTGGAGTGACTTGCCCAAGGCATATCTAATACAACTAGCAAATGGCAAAGCCAAGATTCAAATCCATCTTCCCTGATTCCAAAGTTTTCCCATTATTTTATATAATACTCCAAGTAAGTTACCTGGATAACACTTTTACAAGCAGATTCACAGAATGAAATACCCCTAGCCCTTGAAAGACATCCTCATTAGTATTCCTAACCAGAGGCCGGACACCAGCTCCAAGGGAAGGGTCAGTAGAAGAAGAAAGAGAGGGAAGAGAATTGAAGTTCTCAAAAAGCAAGTCAGTACCCTGACACAGTGGTCTCTTTGTCCATTGTAAAAGAAAAGACCATTCTTAGTTGGAACAGAAACAAAAGTAGAATAGCAAGGAGATTTTCCTTCTCAGAAAATGAGAACCAACTTTTGTTTTCCATTTTTAAAAATAATTAAAAGAGACAGCATTGGGCCAGCCAGTCTCCTTTCTCAGAACACATTCAATAGGGAAGCATAGGGTTCCCAAAGATTTGCTCTTTCTCCTCATGGTGACGGTACATTTCCCCTTCCCCCTGCCACTACCCTTATTTAAATCATCTTAGCCTAATTCAGTTTTATAAATGTTTACATTTTCTTTCTGGCATCTTCCTTATTACCACCTATTCCATCATCTTCTTCAGTTATAGATTTTTCTGCCATCTTCATGGCAAAAATTTCCATTTTTCACCAAAAATTCACCAAATGACTCAAAAGCCAAAGCATCATGTACAGAGGAAAGTGTCATCTGACATTTTCCCCTCCCTACTTCTTGTCACAAAAAGAAGAGTAGAAGGCAGTTATTTTATAGTTATTCATTCCCTTTTGGTCTAAATGATATATCTTCTTTCCTATTAGAAGTTAATTTGCTCATGCATGAAGGGAGTAGCAAGTGACTTCAGCTTTAATTAGACAGGTACTAAACAATTTGGTAATAATCTGAATACTGACAAGCTGGAGAGTTC